GGGGCTCCATGCCTCATGGCTATCTCCATAGGGCAGCTCACTACATGGCAGTGGCTTCAGTTTGAGTGTGCAAGTGAGAAAGGAAGAGATGTTGTGCAAGGCAGAAGCCACAGTCTTCTTGTAACCAAAGAGAATAGTTCATCACTTTCACCATATTCTGCTCCTTTGAAGCAAGTCACTAGGATCAGCTCCTACTAGCAGGAAGGCTTGTGCAAGGGGGCAGACATCAGGGGGCAGAGAGCTCTTTGAGAAGCATCAGAAGGTGGGTACCGTAGATGTTTGAGTTTTTGTGTAGGCAAATATGTCTAAATCTTCCTTTATTGTTTATAGCTTTGACAGAAAAATGCTTGTAGTTTGTCTACAGTTACTTTACTATGGAAAAATAGTGTTTCGAATGTAATAAAGATTTATCAACTATTTGTTGAGTTAAGGCATTAATAAGTATGTATACTTAAAATATTGAATATGTACTTAAAATACTTGGTTTAGTTCCCTATGTGATCAAATGAAAAGATCGCCAGAATTCCCAATTCTTCCTTTCTCAACGGCACCTACAGCTGCATGACTTCACGGATCCTTCCCTGGAGAGGCGGGCTGAATCTGGGTTGGTTTTAGATTTGCTTTTGCAAACAGAACATGGCGTCAATAACAATGATCAAACCTGAACTAACATGCTTGAAAATCAGAAACCATGTAGAGAAGACACAACTGTCCAATGTCAGGAATCCACCACCAGCCAGAGCAGAAACCACCTGCATGTCAGAAAGTGATTACTACCACAGGGCTGTGCCCAGCCAACACCGTAAGAACGACCAGCTGAACCTGATCTAAATTGCTGCACAATAGAATCGTGAGCCAAATAAATATTGTTTTGAGGTGGTTTACTAAACAGCAAAATTTAAATAATACAGTCCCATGAATATGTCTTCATTTTTTACAATTATTTGGTAGAATTCACCAGTGAAGCCACCTGTCTGGCTTTTCTGTGTTGGGAGATTTTGATTACTTGTTATATGTCCTTACTCATTGTTGTTCTGTTCAGATTTTCTATTTCTTCATGATTGAGTCTTGGAAGGTTGTGTGTTTCTAGGAATTCATATAGTTTTCTAAGTTGTCCAATTTATTGGCATATAATTGTTCATAATAGTCTTTTATGATTCTATGTATTTCTATATTATCAGTTATGATGTTCTCTCATTCCTGATTTTTTTTATATATATAAAATAGTCCATGCTACTTTCATTGAGTGTTCTTAAAAAATTGTTGGTTCATTGTTGTTTTGCTCTATATCTCAGTTGTAAAAAGTATGATGGTAGACTAATCATTTTACCTTTATAGATTATTTGGTCTTTTGTCTGGAGACTGAGGATTTCATCTTTATCTTTGACATTTAATAGATTTGCTAAACTACATCTCATATTTGGTTATGCCGGGTTAATTTTTTTCATTCAACTAGTGATGTCTTTCAGAAATTCCAGTAATACAATTCATATTCCTTACATATTCTTTCACCATCTTCTATGTTCATTAGATTCTCTCTCACTCTTTTTTGCTTCTTTATGTCATTTTTGTTCTCTTTGTTGATTTCTTGTCTTTCTACAATTATCCTTAGAAATTTTTATTTGAACTTATTTTCCTTTGGGCTACTTATAACAGCATATTCATTTATAAGATAGCTTTGTCTTTTCCGTGATTGGTTTCTCTTTTTTGTCCATTTCTACTTTTAGTTTGAATTTCTGATTAATGTAATTTTTCTTATCTCAGATGCCATTTTGGCTATAAAATTTTTGGAGTGTTAACATAATTTTCTTTTGTTTCATAGATCTTTTATATATTTTGTATCTTTTAGAGCATCAGAATTTTTCAGCTGATACTTGTCAATGTTATTAGTGATTTTCTATATTAGTTTGCTAAAGATTCTAGTTTCTTTTTGTTGACTTTACGATACTGTGATATTTTACTTGGCTTTTTCCCCTTTTTATTGCATAATTAATTTAAAGCTTCAGCATTCTGTCTTCAAGTAATATTTATGGTGTAATTTTCAGTGTAATTTCTATAGATATGAGGTTATTTTTATCATCTGAAGAGATTTTTGGGAGATGTTTTCTACAATGCTAACATCTACAACTATCCAGAATTCCTACCACAGTGTTTCATATTTATTTTTGGCTTTTTCTTACTTGTTAAATCTGAGTTTATTCTTATAATCAGTATTCTTAAATTATAGACATAAATTATTTTGTGTTTTTTATTTAAGGATATTCTTTAAATCCTTGATAATTTAAGGAATAGGAGGATATAGTTGAAAACTTCTAAAGTTTCAGGAAACACCATTTCACTTGATATAAATGTCTGAAAATTTGATAATTTTTAAGGGCTTAAAAGGCAAGTGAATATTGCTGTCTTCGCTACAAATGAAAGCTTTTTAAAAAACACAAAATCAGGGACTCTCTTGTCCACTCCTGGCGTGAGCCGGGAGCTCTGTCTGTCCTCTCACTGTATCTCTCAATAAAGTCTCCCTGGCTCTCCTGAAAAAAAAAACACACACAAAATCAGTAACAAAATCCAACTAGCATATGAAAAAATCACAGAATTGTTATTCTGTTAATAACCATGTGAAATCTCTTCAAACCTAATTCTCAAACTAACCTACACTAGTACCAAATAAACTGTGCCTTTACATATTTACAGTTCATAATTGTACTTCACATATTTATAATTTAATAATTCATAAATCAAACCCTTAAAATCCACACATACTTTCAAATGGTTTATCTAAAATCCCAGTATATAATTTAAAGGCAGTAGAGATATACAATAGATTTGGAGAGAAAATTCTTCAAATCAATGTATAAATGAAAAAAAATTAGTTAAACTGCAATATCTTGTGCACCACAAAGGTTAGATAAATACACCAGGTAGTATTTTACTCTCCATGCAAACAAAGCACTTTATTTGTTGAAACAAGGTATGGACCCATGAGAACATAATTATTGTGACAGCTTAAGATATATAGATTGAATTATGATCTCCTGATATTAAATCTTGGATCTCTGGATTGTCTTTTATTTTTAGGAATATATCACATTTGGACATGTTGCAAATTCTCCACACATTTATCAGATGATGGGGATGTTTATTAGATGATTTTCAGAATAATCACTCTCTGAGGTTAAAGAAATATGAGTAAGTCCAACTATAGAAGACTTAAGGGGTAGGTGTTGTTTAAATTAGATCATGGAGAAATAGGTTAGAGTTAGATAAAGAAAGGAACAGGTAAAACATGCCTGGAGTGAGAAATAATGTGGCAATGGTAGGGCCCACTGGACTGCCATCAACGTCATTCTGTTCCTTATAGTGTGGAACTATAGCTAGACACCCATATCAAAAGTCCTTTAAGGCTTTCTTGCAGGTAGATTCAGCCATACTACTAATTTATTGTCAATGCAATGTAAACAGAAGTGAAACATGTCAGTACAACTTTTTATGGTCATACTTGGTATGGGGCTGTTTATGTTCTTTCATAATCCAGTAACTTAGACGTTGTAAAGTGATGTGACCATGAAGATGAGGACAGGCACCTAGGAAATGGTGGGGGAAGGAACCTGTCTCACTGAAGGACTGTGTACCTTGAGATGAGTGCATGATGGAATCGATAGATTTATAGTATCCTTAAGCCACTGTGTTTTGGGGGTAGCATTTTTATCGTGCCTCAAGCATCTTAGCTAATATAGTGAATGCAAGTGCAAAAGACAGGAAGCACCATAAAATTTTATGTGCTAGGATTGGATTAGTTGGTTATAATCTTGAGAAGAAGAATGATTGAGGCAAATGTAAGTAAATGACTCCTTTCATCACTTTTGAGAAGTGACCTTATGAAAGAGAGATGTGCATGCTGACTTTTCTAATTGTAGAGGGATTGTTTAGAAGCCGTAGGTTAAAATGACATACAGATCCCAAAATGTGGAGTATCCTTAATACAAGACTGAGGATACTGAAATTTCCCTCTTCATAACTTGGTTTATAAACCTGCGCGCTTAACAGACATGAGTGAAGGTGGCAGGATAGAACTAACAATTTAGAAACATAAATGCACCTTCACTTCTGTAAATTAACGCATTTGATATACATGTTTAAATAATATTATCAATCTGCTTCCCCCCCCCCCTTTGGATGTAGACATAATGGCAAGAAACATTTCACTTTATTCCTAACTTTTCTTAAGGAAAACAACAATTAAAATGTTGCTATGAGAAAGAATTAACTGGCAATGTTATTATGGGGGGGATAATAACAGAACACATGCTCCATTCAAAGTGGGTAGCTGTCTGTTAATACCAGCTGAATGCATTTAGGAACTGAGGCTCAATTCTCTCCATCTTCTGTCATGATCTTTCAAGATAAGCCAGGAATATGGGCTGGTAAACAAAATTTCCTCATTTTAAATGTCGGTAGCAATTTGTATCTTACAGTGCTAGGTTCACCCTTAGTGTAAGGACTAAATTAACCATTTCTATGGGCCCTATTTGGTCCATAGTCTACTAGCCTGTGTTTTTTGAGAACATTCTAGAAAGGGAAAAAATAAAAATGCAATTTAGAAAGAGTAACCCAGAACTGATGCACAAATTATTTGGAATAAGCAGATATTATTCATGGTAGAAGAAAGGAAAGGAAATAATATTCATTGTGCTCAAAAATACGTATTACATAAAATGTTACATGTAATTTATATCATTATGCTCACAAAGCTCCTGTAGTTCAAAATTTTATCTCTTGTTTTGTCTGGTAAGTAAAAGAAGCTTTAAAGAAGTTAAATAACATGACTTTTAGTTTGGATAACCCAAGAAGCAGAGACTGAGTATTTTGAGTGAAAATAATTTATTTGGAAAATAATCTCACAAAGCACTGGTCGGGGGGTGAAGAGATGAGATAGAGGAGAGAAGGAAAGGAAGCCAATATAGAATGGGTTAATGGACATCATGTGTCCATCTGGGGTAGACTGTGTGGACTATAATATGCCTCAGAATTGGTACCCCCAAGGACCAGGAAGCTGGGATTTGTATCCACTGCATCTGCCTATTTTTGGTGCAAGAGTGCTTCCAAGAACATTTTTATTTTTTAGTTAAGGACTCCAGTTAAGAGAGGCAGTAGGCATACTGTAGCTAGATCTGTTTTGTTCTGTGATAATCATTGTAACCATCAAATATAAATAACACTGATTTCCCCATCATCAGAAACAGCAGAGCCAATACAGATTTTGAAAGCAGTCTGGTTGTACATTGTTAACTAGCACAGAGGGAATACATCTTGCCAAGGAATAAAACAATTTGCTATGTGTGTGCTCCCTAGAGAGAACAGGTGACATTGAATAAATACATACAAGGTGACAAAATGGAAAATAAGTCTATTAAGTTCACACCAGAACTCAGAGGACTTATAGAAATGTGCACTGTCTCCCTGTTACTTTGCCCACATTTAATCACACAAGAGGGAGGTAATGCAGTACTCTCTGTTGACTTTATGAAGCTAGCTGATTTTTTGGTTTCTTGAGTTTCAATTCTTGTGTCCTTAGAAGTGGCTTTCAATCAAAAAAAGATAAAACGTTATCCCAAGTCTTGGTTACATGACCCATGAAAAAGTAAAAAACACTAGATCTGTCAGGGACAGAGCTGTTGCTTAGTAGCACATACTGGAGTGTGACTTTAGAAAAGAAAGATACATTGATGTGTGGAACTAGATTTCCCAGAGAAGCAGTTGACACTGTGCCCCGCGAAGTATTTATCAGGCAGTCAGTAAACGACAGTGGTGATGGTTTCCTGTTGGACTTAACGAGAGCACCTGGGGGAATGATCATGCCTGACTGATGAGCCGAGAAAACATGGTGAGAAATAGAACTGGGACCGTGAGCTCTCCACCTGATGGACGGCTCAGACCTCGGAGTCCATGAGAAAAGATTGAAGTCGTTATTTGGGCCTGGTTAATTGGAGATGCCAAATAATCCCAAAATTCCTAAATGTTTACTGTCTTTCTAAATGGCTACTGCCTAATGAACACCTAACAGCTTGTGTCTCAAAATGTTTACTGGGATTTAAGAAATGGCAGGGGAAAAAACAAAATGTACCCAAGGCCAACTCACCCTAATATTAAACGTCACCGGCAGCACAAATAAGATGCTTCGGCAATGATGGCGGTGGATGGAAAACTAAAAACAAATAGAATAACATTCCTAGAAGAATAGAAAGTGATACTAAATTAAGATAGATGATGATGGTGTTTACATACCGGGGTGGGAAGTGTGACCTACTGTTTCATCCTGCCGTTCGCCGTAACAGCCACCCACAGATACACCCCCCTCCCTGGGGTGAAGCCCCGTCGCTGCTCACTGCTCCGTTCAGTTCAGCAGGCTCCGCGGAAAGAAAGAGGCATATTTTCACAAAGCCGAATCATACAGAACTGCACCAGGGACAGAAAGCAAAACAAGTTCAGGATTAGGCAAAGGGCTCAGGGAACATAGTTAAGAAGAGTTTCATCTGTAAATAAAAGCAGCATTGCTCCGTTGCCCCAATTTACTTTTGAGGACACTGTTCTTTGACGATTGCCCATTCAGCAGCACGTAGGTCTGACTCCTAACAGATTTACAGAGCATTCGTTTGCACTTGTTCTAATCTCTGTTTAATGCTGAATTTCAACCTGCTGGATAACCTAGAGGAGCTTATTGCCATGGATACAGTGAGAAGTGATTGTTAAAATAGCCTCGAAATGTTTATTTTTCTATGTATCCCTTTTGAACATTTGTTTACAGTTCTTTGTTATTTCCAATTTGCTTCTTTAGGACCACTTCAGCTTTCCGTTCCCCTTTGTTCTCAGCACTTACACCAAAGCAGAGATTTAGCTATTCCAACAGAAATTGCCACACTCAGAATGGATGTTATAAGTACTCCTGCCATTAACCACATTCCCTGGGATAAGACTCTCATCTCAGTTTAGATTAACATTGATCTTAGATTTAAAAAGGTTACAGGAAATTATTATCAGAACCATATCAAGTGAAGAAAAAATATGTATCATGAAACACATAAACTACTTTTAACTTTTATTACTATGTTGAAATGCATTAATTATACAAATGTAGACCTCAGTTGCAAGACAATAGATACAGTAGGAAGATTTAAAATATGTTGGACTTTAAAAACAGTTGAAATATGTTAAATATAGTACATGAAGGTAGACTCACCTTAACTCCCCAGGTTTGGTGGGTCTTAGAAGTCTGAACATTAGAAGTATAAGTGCTATGCCAAAGTCCTTCATCAAAACCACAATGATATATCACCTCACACCAGTCAGAATGGCCACTATCCAAAAGACAAAAAAATATCAAGTGTTGGCAAGGATGTGGAGAAAAGGGAATTTTCCTACACCTTTGGTGGAAATATAAATCAGTGTAGCTACTATGGAAAACAGTATGGAGGTTCCTCAAAAAACTAAAAATAGAAATACCATATGACCCAGTAACTCCATTTCTAGAAATTTACCCAAAGAAAACAGAATCCCTGATTCAAAAGATGTATGCAGCCCCCTGTCCATTATAGCATTATTTGCAAAAGCCAAGATATGGACATAACCAAAGTGTGCATCAACAGATGAGTGAATAAAGAAGATGTACATAGACACAATGGGATGTTATTCAGCCATAAAAAAGAAAGAAATCTTGACATTTGCCACAACATGGGTGGACCTAGAGGGTATTATGCTAAGTGAAATAAGCCAGGTGGAGAAAGACAAATACCATTTCACCTTTAAGTGGGATCTAAAAACAGAGCAAAGCAAAATGAACAAAACAGCAGTAAACTCATAAACACTGAGAAATGACTGGTGGCTACCATGTGGGAGAGAGAGAAAAAGGCACAAAATTCTCAATCATGATGTAAGTCAGTGATGGAAGTAGAGCATGGAGAGCACGGTCAGTGACCCTGTCCCATCTCCCTGTGCTGACAGACAGTAACTGCACAGTGGGAGGGGGGATTTAATAATGTGGGTGACTGTTGAATCACTGTATTGTATACTTGAAATCAAGGTAATATATATCATATATACTGCAATAAGAAATAAAAAAGTCTTTCATAACTTTAAAAATGTTTTATTTATTACTATTAACAATGATAATGCTAACAAAATACATTGAGGATGTCATTATTCTATATCCATTCATAAATATTTCTTGATCCCATAGCATCTTAATAATTCTGTGACAGAGATAGAAAATGTGTGACTACACTTGTATTATAGATAAGACTGACCAGTCCAAGACTTTATGTTGGTAAATCTTAAACTCAAGATTGGAATCTTGCCAATTATTTTGATTTCTGCAACAGAGTTTAAGCTGACTGGTAAAAATCATTTTATGCTCCATTCTGAACCAGGCACAATAGGCACAGAAATATTACAGGAATGGGTGTTTAATAAAGGAAGATTGTCATCTCTTCAACAACCATCTTTGCACCAAAATATTTTCAAAATAGTTTGTTTCATTTCCTTGTTTTCTGTCAATACTAGGGTAATCTCCACAGAGGCTGAACTTCTATCTCCAGCTTCTAGCGTAACATCTGTCACACAGTAAAAGGTCAACATGGATTTTGAATGAATGGATGATTGGATAGTATCTGACTGCCTGCTCAGCTGGATGACTGCATTTTTTAATTTGTACCTTAGGATTTTGGTATTTGAAGTTATTTGATTGTCTACAATAAACAAGAAAACTAAAGAAATTTAATTTCACATACAGCAGCAAAACTTGAAATTTAGAGTGTATGACAGTCATCTACAGGGGTGGTTAAGTTACTCGTTTCTCAACTTCACTTCTCATATACAAATTCAGTGTGCCTAAGTTGGTATCTAAGAATCTCAACATGCTCAAATTTATACTAATGCAGCCTGCTTGTATTTTGCAAAATACTCTTATACAGCATATAGGTCTGATTAAAAGAGGCCCTTTTAAATTCTTAAGCAAATCTAGGATAAAATGGTCAAACTTCAAATTCCATATGTTTAAAAGTACTAGTTAATCTCTGAAACCCTAGCAGGAGTTTTACGAAGCCAGTATTAATATAAATGTAACAGTAAAAAGAAGAAATCTGTATGGAGCATCTGACATGTGCAGAGCTTAGAGTGTAAGAGATAGCTCTTGAGTCAAACACCTGGCTTAAAATCTTGACTCTCTTATCTAGTAGTTGTATCTTCTTGGGCACACTCCTTAACTTCTCTCTTCTTTACTTATTTTATTTGTAAAATGTGGAAAGAAATAGCATCTCCTTTTTTAGGTTTCTTTAATAATAAAAGGAATAATTAATGCAATGTATTTAAAACAAAAGACAGCATTTTATAAGCTCTTAATTAACAGTGTTTTTCCCCAAAAAATATATGTCCTTTTCTTCCATTTCCTTAATATCCTTGGGATGCTATCATTAGAGATTCATAGAAAATCAGAAGCTTAATATTACTTCAGGATTGTGTAGTAAACCCTCTTCATTTTATAAATAAAATAAATCAACAGGAGAGATTGACAGCTTTGTTCAAGTTCACACAACAGACCTGAGAGAAATGGGACTAAAGCTCCAGATTTTTCTATGATTCTTCTCTTACATTTATCTTTCAAAATACCTTTGTCAACCATACTAACTGTCTCACCTCCTAGCCAGAGTTACAAGATGAGCATTTTTTTTCTCAGGCTAGGGTGTGGGGTGTGTTGTAGAATCCACAGATTCAGAGATTGAATTTGTAAGTACATGAAAGTTAAAATACACCATAAGCCAGAATTTCTATTTCTTTAGTAAACAAATACTATTTCTTGTGCACATTATTACACCTCTCAAACACATTACTCAGGGCAAATCTTTCTTGTCTTTACTCTTGATTAAACAGACAATACCATACAGAAACAATTAACCATTAAAATTTTAGAAAAGAAAAACTTTCATGAATGAAAACAAATGACTGAAATTTATCTGTCATATAGAGTAAAAAATATAGAAATAACCATTTGACAGATTACTGCCTTTTCTGAAATTTTTCTGTCATTATTTTTAAAGCATTGAAATCAAATATCACTGGTTATCAATTAAAATGGATACACCTCTTAGTTTGGCAAATTCTTAAAACAGGTGCTCACTAAAGTATTATGGGCAACACAAAGGTTAATATTTAATCATGGGTAAACTAAGATAATTCTCAAGGGAACTAGAATTTTTCAACAATCTTACACATGTGTTCTATCTGACCTGCAAGAATATGCTTTCTCTATTAAAAGCCTCTGAAAAAAGTTTAATCCAACACTTAAAAATCACAAAGCACACATAAGCATAAAAATAAAACTAAATTTTATGAGAGTTTCATCCTTTTAACCACATATTGCATGAGAAAAGAAAAAGAAGAAAGAGAAACAAATGAAATTCTGGAATTTGAAATTTAGAAGAAATAACAGAATTCCTCTAGTGTCATTTCATAGACTAGTAGCCAATTAAAGAGTACACATCTAGGTATAATATAATAACAACAGATGTCTGTATCTGTAACACCATAATTCATAAGCACTGCCATGCATATACTAGTCTTTTACATAATTGAAGCAGTTAATTCCAGGTTTTATCCAAAGCTATAATATATTTTAATATATAAAGAATATTGAATATCAGATATATTTAAATAATCTTTCACAAATATTTTTGACGTATATATAACCAACATAAATATAAAATCACATTACATAGAAAGCTTTTTTACATGCACACACACACACACACACACACACACACACACACCATTATACAGCAATACTCACAGCAGAGCTGTTAATATTCTTTGATTGAAAGAAACAAAATCTAGTCAGTAACAGAATAATACGGATTTGAAAATTAGATTTCTTCACTGCTTTTCAGTTTTAGTTGTTTTTTGTTTTTTGTTTCAAAATTTAGTGATACTGACTCTAAAATTTATATGGAAAAGCAGAAGACCCATAATAACCAACGCAGTATTAAAATTAGAGGTCTGACAGCACAGAACTTCAAGGCTTACTATAAAGCTGCAGTGATTAGCCAGGGTAGTATTAGCATAAGAACAGACACATAATTAATGGAATAAAATAGAGACCAGAAATAGACCACTGTAAATATAGGCGACTGATGTCAGACACAGGAGAAAAGGCAATTAAATGGAGAAAAATAGTCTTTTCAATAAATAGTGCTGAAACAACAGGACATCCAGTTCAAAAAAAGAGAAAAAATGAATCATATCTTTCACAAAATTAACTCAAAACACATTATAAACATAAAGGTAAAATACAAAACTATGAGACTCTCAGAATATAACATGGGAAAATTTCCAGGTGGCCTTGGGTTTGGTAATTACTTCTTAGATTTAGCACCGAAGCATTATCCAAGAAATGTAAAACAAAATGGAAAGCTGTACTTTGTTAATATTGCAAACCACTTCTGTGCAAAAGGCACTGTTAAGAGAATGAAAAGACAAGTAATAGACTTGGAGAAAACATTTGCAAATACCTATCTGTTACAGGGCTAGTATCTAAAATATACAAAGAACTCTTTAAACTCAATAATAATAAAACAACCCTATTAAAAAGTAGGCAAAAGATCTGAACAGGTACTTCACCAAAAAAGATATCCAGGTGGAAAATAAGCATATGAAAATGATGTTCAACATAACATGACATTAGGATATAGCAAATTAAAATAACAGTGGTATGATATAAGACTATCTAAAATTCAACAACAAATACTGGTGTGGATGTGGAGCAAAAGGTACTTTCATTTACTGTTAGTGGGAATGAGAAATGGCATGGTCATTTTGGAATATAGTTGTTCAGTTTCTTATAAAACTGTATATATATTTACCATATGATCCACTTGATATTTACCCAAAGGAGTTTAAAACTTACGTCCACAAGAATCCTGCACACAAATGTTTATAGAAGCTTTATTCATAATTGCAGAACTTGAAGATGTCATTCAGTAGGTGATTTGATAAATGTGCTACATCCACATTTATGGATGTATATATACAACATACATACAATGGCAAGTTATTCAGCAAGAAAAAGAAATGAATTATCAAGCCATTAAAACACATGGTAGGGGGACCTAAAATGCATGTTTCTAGGTGAAAGAATCACATCTTAAAGATTACATACTGTGATTTGAACTATTGGACATTCTGAAAAAGACAAAACTATGAAGACAATAAAAGACCAGTGATTGCCAGGGACTCAGAGAAGGGAGGGAGTGCAGGGATTTTTTTTTTTTTGGATATTAAAACTGTTCTGCATGATACTCAAATACTGAACACATGTCATTACACGTTTGCCTAAACCCTTACAGTGTGCAACACAGAGTGAACCCTAATGAAAACTATGGATGCTAGTTAATAATAGTGTATCAATATTGGCTTCTCGATTATAACAAATGTTTCTAACTAATGCAAGATTTTAATAATAGGAGAAACTGGGGGAGGAGTTGGTATAAGAAAACATATGAATTCTGTGCTTTCCACTCAATTTTTCTGTAAATTTAAAAGCGCTCTAGAAAGTTTATTAAGTAAGGAAATAAAAAATAGTAATGTAAAACCTTTTTACTTTTTTAAGCAAAAGCAAAAGGACCTAGAGGGTATTATGCTAAGTGAATCCGCCAGACAAAGAGAAATACCATATGATTTCACTTACAAGTGGTACCTAAAAACACAAGAAAATGAACAAAATAGAAGTAGACTCATAGACACTGAGAAGTGATTGCTAGGGGTTGGAATGGGTGGGTGAAATTAGTGATGGGGATAAAGAGGCACAAAATCTCAATTATAATATAAGTTAGTCATGGGGATGAGAGGACAGCCTCTGATAAGAGAGCATTATTCAAAACATATAAAGAACTCATGTAACTAAAAAAAAAAGCCAAAAGAAAAAGGAAAAACAAACCAAAACAATTTTAGTCATAAATTATCACTGTTACTAAATTTCCTTGATCATTACCATTACAATTTAAGCAAAAAATAAATAATACAGAAACCTTTCAAAACCACAAAAATTGTTCCCAGAAACTCTTAGAAACCACAGTTAAGAATTTAGAAGAATTCGGAAATACACACACATGTGCACATAAACTAAATATAACAACATTGAAGAATTACGTGTTCAGGGAATTTTTAAATATATTCAAATGCAAAGTATTAAACCTATTCTGAAAATCAGAACTATTTAAAATAGTATAATTAATCATGCTTAATCAGTGTTAGAAACTTAAAACTCACTATGCCTCCAAAGACCTGAATAAAATGAGATATTTTGTTTTTTTCTCAATTAAAAAAGTTGTTTTGACAAAAAGCATATTTTTGAACAATGACTGCTCTTAGTTAAGTTTAATTAATAGAGATTTCATTCTTCTTTCTCTGGTTAGATTTCTCACTGAATATAATCCACATAGATCATGACTTTAAAAGTGGCTTCTGAAAATTTTCTTTCCTATTTTATTTTTGAAATTAAAAATAAAGTATTTAGACTTTCGGCTTACCATTTTTACTACAGTTCTTTAGAAATCCAAGGTGTTCATTTTCCTAGTTTCTACCTTTGGATTATGGGTCCAGACATGCTCAACCCACTGCAATATTTTGGTGATCTGAATGTTTGTTGACCTGAGGGGTACTGTAATGTGGTTTTATTTCTTTGCAGACCAGTATGCAATACAATTAGAATGCCTTTAGAGCAGAAAATAAACAATGTATGCTTAGTTCACTGCTTTTACTGTTTGAAAATATGGCTCAGCTGCCTTCTTACTCATTAATTTTCTGTGCTTCCTCAATGAAATGGTGTCTCATATAACACCTAACAAGGGTGAATTATTTTACTTCAGGATATGAAGAGAAATAGTTATGCCCTGTTGAACTTTTAATGTAAACCAACTGCTCCTTGAAATGCTTAATGATTATGGAATAGACCTATAGGGAGCTTCCAGGCTCCATCTCTCTTAGAAGAATAAATAAAAAGGACAGATAATTAAAAGCAAATTCAGCTCTTGGTTTCACTGCTCAGTGTGTATGCTCACTAAGGGCTTAGCAGATCAGAAATAGCAATGAAGAACACCACACTGAATTTAGCCTTTGTGTGGTACAAGACATACTGTGTTTTTCATTGTGAAAGTCTCAGCATTTGAAAATTGTTAACCTTAACTGACAATCTAATGGAATAGCTAAGCCACACAACTGATAGATGTGAGTTAAAATGATATACAACCCGTGTGACAATGAGTGTGTGTATACATTAAATTGCTTCTTATTTATTATAAGTAAGCTTCAATGCATACATACATATATATACACACACACACACACACATATATATATATATATAGGGAAAGAGACTATGTCTGAAATTTCCTAGGGGCAAATATTTAAACATTAGCTCTCTTTTTCATTATTTCTCAAAATATCTAATAATTCTCAGTGCCCAGCTACATTTCAGATACATTAAGGTGAAAGAATCACATCTTAAAGATTACATACTGTGATTTGAACTATTGGACATTCTGAAAAAGACAAAACTATGAAGACAATAAAAGACCAGTGATTGCCAGGGACTCAGAGAAGGGAGGGAGTGCAGGGATTTTTTTTTTTTTGGATATTAAAACTGTTCTGCATGATACTCAAATACTGAACACATGTCATTACACGTTTGCCTAAACCCTTACAGTGTGCAACACAGAGTGAACCCTAATGAAAACTATGGATGCTAGTTAATAATAGTGTATCAATATTGGCTTCTCGATTATAACAAATGTTTCTAACTAATGCAAGATTTTAATAATAGGAGAAACTGGGGGAGGAGTTGGTATAAGAAAACATATGAATTCTGTGCTTTCCACTCAATTTTTCTGTAAATTTAAAAGCGCTCTAGAAAGTTTATTAAGTAAGGAAATAAAAAATAGTAATGTAAAACCTTTTTACTTTTTTAAGCAAAAGCAAAAGGACCTAGAGGGTATTATGCTAAGTGAATCCGCCAGACAAAGAGAAATACCATATGATTTCACTTACAAGTGGTACCTAAAAACACAAGAAAATGAACAAAATAGAAGTAGACTCATAGACACTGAGAAGTGATTGCTAGGGGTTGGAATGGGTGGGTGAAATTAGTGATGGGGATAAAGAGGCACAAAATCTCAATTATAATATAAGTTAGTCATGGGGATGAGAGGACAGCCTCTGATAAGAGAGCATTATTCAAAACATATAAAGAACTCATGTAACTAAAAAAAAAAAGCCAAAAAAAAAGGAAAAACAAACCAAAACAATTTTAGTCATAAATTATCACTGTTACTAAATTTCCTTGATCATTACCATTACAATTTAAGCAAAAAATAAATAATACAGAAACCTTTCAAAACCACAAAAATTGTTCCCAGAAACTCTTAGAAACCACAGTTAAGAATTTAGAAGAATTCGGAAATACACACACATGTGCACATAAACTAAATATAACAACATTGAAGAATTACGTGTTCAGGGAATTTTTAAATATATTCAAATGCAAAGTATTAAACCTATTCTGAAAATCAGAACTATTTAAAATAGTATAATTAATCATGCTTAATCAGTGTTAGAAACTTAAAACTCACTATGCCTCCAAAGACCTGAATAAAATGAGATATTTTGTTTTTTTCTCAATTAAAAAAGTTGTTTTGACAAAAAGCATATTTTTGAACAATGACTGCTCTTAGTTAAGTTTAATTAATAGAGATTTCATTCTTCTTTCTCTGGTTAGATTTCTCACTGAATATAATCCACATAGATCATGACTTTAAAAGTGGCTTCTGAAAATTTTCTTTCCTCTTTTATTTTTGAAATTAAAAATAAAGTATTTAGACTTTAGGCTTACCATTTTTACTACA